AATTCATGCATTTCAATTCCAAAATTTGAAATCCTGAATTTCAAATGACAAGGGGAGGTGCATGGATTTCAAATTAAGCTTTGTTTTGAATGTAAAGAATTTGATTCAAATCCAAATTTAAAATGCTTAAGTTTTCCAAACATGGAATTTAAGCCAAATCCGGATTTGAAATCCAAATCCATGTTCCCAAACATACCATTAAGGGATTTGAATAGAGCAAGTCTTTCATACCATTCCTGAGTTCAATATTCTTGTCTCTTTATTTATTCTTATTTTCATAATTTATCAAGAGAGATCATGGGATCATATTCGGTGGAATCAAAGTTCCATCATATTCAGATTAAAGCATTCCCAGTATATGATTTATGTTAGGATACAATACCAACCTAATGCCTACAGGTGCTAGGTGACCACAGCTATGATGGAGCTGCTGCTGATGTATGGTCATGTGGAGTCATTCTTTACTTTTTAATGGCTGGATATCTACCCTTTGAAGGGGTAGACCTCCTAACGTTGCATCAAAAGGTCAGATTCTGTTTTTTCTGCTATAAATTGGGTAGATTTATCCTTCTAACATGCTTAAAATATACTATGTTCTAAAAATTTTGGCCTTTGCATCAGATAAATGCAGCAGAATATGTCTGTCCATTTTGGTTTACTCCTGGTGCAATATCACTGATACAGAAAATACTTGACCCCAACCCTGAAAATGTACGTGCCCATATAATCCATTTCATAGGGCTTCTTAAAGACTCCGCAATAGAATAAAACTCTTCATGGCTGTGCAAAATTTTCATCTCAAATAATTGAAGGATGTTAAAACAAGCACACTGAAAGTTAATGGTTTGGCTTCATATGCCGTAGTGATTGGAGTGTAATGATGGTGTTTACAGCGCATTAAAATCGAAGGGATCAGAAAAGATCCGTGGTTCCAGAAGAATTATATGCCTATCCAAGGTAGAAAAGGAGAGAATTTGGGTAGTGTCTATGCTGGTTTTTACAACATCAAGGTTAGTAGATGTCTTCCATGACTCCTTTCTATGTTAATATCTATAGACATTCTGCATGGATTATTTATAATCGGGGTCCATAGGCCTTAGAGGGGCTGAATAAGGCATTTTAAAGATTTGTCAGACTTTTAAAGTTTATTTGTGCCTACGGTGCAACTTATATGAAATATGCCTTTAAATAAAATGTGGTAGTATTAAACACGATAAATAAAAACGAAAAACCATTCGAGGCCATAACATTTGGCCACTTGAGCGTTGAAAAACAAGTATCGTTGGCACTTCTAAGTACTGTTTGTACTACTGTTCCTGGCCAAAACTTGCTCAGAACAAGATTTTTTCCGACACATTTCTTTTAAGTTTTAAACCTTTTGGTAGAAGAAAAAGACGCAAATGATGGGTTTTAAAGCTGGTGTATCGTGCGCATTGAGCTCGTGAATATAAGCATATAAAATCATATTCGATACATGAGTTCTACTTATATTCTATGCTAGTTTTGGCGACATTGTTCTTGAGAACTAATACGTTTAGAGGATTTGGGTCGTAGTTGACATGCTAGAACAAATGTTAGCTCTTATATGAATATATTGTTAGTTTAAATCAACACAAAATGGTTTGACAAACCAAGGCTAACAATGCTCCCTTTTTTAAGTTGACAGTGAGTTGTGCGGGAGTAAGCTCCCCCTAAATTAAAGCACATTTATAGAAGTCTCACACTGAGGTTTTCCTTGTATTTATGAAAAGTGTAATTTTCAATGTAGTAACAATATGAAGAGGGGATAGTTGATTGCATCATTTTTGAGCTGCGGATTTGATTCACTTTATTCAACTCATTTGGTTCAAAGAATGAGAGTAGGCTTCCTTAAGTCTGTTGTTGTAGCTCTGTTAACTGATTGGTCATAGGTTGAAATTTTAATTTTGGGAGTGATTTGGTGAGGGAAGGCTAAGATGGCGCCTTGTTGGTCTTTATTTTAGTCCTTAATTCCTTCACATTTATAGCCTCTTTTGGTTACCATTTGTGTCAATTTAATTAGATTCCCAACCAACTGTGGTATTTGACCATTTTGGGGTGTGCACAATATTTTAAGACATTTTTGGGGTTAGTTTGGTTTAATTTTATGTTGGGCCCAGTGTAGCGGTAGAGATTCCTTCTGGCGGTGGTAGAATTCTTAATCGTAAGATTAATTGCAGCGGCCACAATCCAAAAAAAAAAACTAGAAAATCCAAAGTTATTGGTATTCACGGAGTATTTGGCTACTGCAAATTTTGTTTTCCCAACCAATCCCACTAACACAGTTCCCAGGTTGCTACAGAAAAAAAAACTTCCTCCACAAACAAAATTTCTTTGGGTTTTGTTAGTTGGAGTTCAGTTCAATTAAAGCACTAATTGATATGAATATCATATCGGATAGGAAAGAACTTCGAAAGGGGAGGCAAAGAGAGAAAGAAAACTTCGAGCGTTTCCAGACTCCGGGAGAAATAGAGATAGAGAAGTAGAGAACTTTAGGGTTTATTTCTCATGAAGAAGATGAGAGGTTACATCTCTATTTATAGGCTATAGAGAGAATTCCTAATTCTAACAATAGTCTAATTCCTACTTCCTAGCCCAATCATAACTCTAACTACAACAATTGATAAATAAATATAACTAATACACTATTAAATATTATAATATCACATCCGTGACACTAAGTGTCATCTAACCTAACCTCATGCTCCTCTCTACTTCCTAACAAACGTTCAGGAAGTACTTTTTCCTAAGGACTACAAAACTAACGTTTTCTTTGGGAGGAGAAAAAGGTTGGGCAGGTAACTTGTTAACTTGATCTTGCAAGCCTGGGCACTTTGTCTTTCTTGCAGATTTTTCAGATTTTGATCAAACTGAAAACTTATCCTCCATTTTTTTCAAAACCGCTTCTAAAAGTTGGTGAGTTTTATAGTAGTGTAATAGTTAAAGGGAATGATAAAGCTAATAATATGACATTGAACTGTGCAGGATGATGTTGTAACGGAGCAGTCTGATAAAACTAGCAATGGCCCTTATATGATGAATGCATTTGAAATGATTACTTTATCTCAAGGGTTGAACCTGTCACCCTTGTTTGATAGGCGCAAGGTACAGTGACAAACCCCGTGTTGGTGTCAACTATCTTCTCTTCCTTTTCACTCTTTTTTAGCTAGGATGGTTGTCCCTTATTTGCTTCATGCCAATGTTACCTCCAAGAATAAAGGAGGCCTTAATGTATGTGTTAAAATCTCATGTAGTCCCAACTCTTTGCCCAGGATTTTGTCAAACGGCAAACCCGTTTTGTATCACGTGAGCCTGCCAAAGATATCATCTCTACCATTGAAGCAGGTGCAGAATCAATGGGATTAAAGGTCTATACACGTAATTACAAGGTAATGTTATTTGTACACCAATAGACGCACATCTATTTTGTCTATACGTGCAAGCGACAAGATTTGCATGTGTAAACAAGCAAACAAAATTGTCTGCGCATGTTGGTGTATATCTGCACAAAACGTTTTTGCCTTATACTTAACATGCTCCAAATGTTCTCTGCACGTATACGATTCGGTAAATTAAACACTAGAAAAGGGGAAAAGAAGAATTTTTTTTATGTCAAGCAGTTATATTGACGGTTCGCTTTTGTCAACAGATCTCTTCAAAGAGACAAACTAAGACGAAATTTATGTCGTTTTCTTTGAAAAAATAATTTCTCAAACATGGTTGTGTAATTTATTTTTATGTCAATACTTCAACAGACTCGGATCGAAGGCGTGTCTTCCAACAATGGGGCAAACTTTGCTGTTGCGTTGGAGGTATCAATTTGTGTACTTCAATATGCACTTTGCATGTAATGGCACCTTTACTAATATATGCTCACTTCGTAATATCTCTTCATTACTCTAAAAAAAGGTCTTCCAAGTTGCCCCATCCCTTTGCTTGGTGGATGTCCGAAAGGCAGCTGGGGACACACTTGAATATCACAAGGTTAGCTTGCTTCGCTTTTACTCATTAACCATAATCCCGAAGACATTTCTTGTTAAAGACAACTGGCGCTATATATGCTCTACATAAATCATGAATTTGCATTCCCAGTTCTACAAGAGCTTCTGCGAAAGAATTGACCGTGTTATTTGGAAATCAAAGGAGGGGATGACAAGTGCTGCTGCACTGTGAACATGGCACTCTCTGTCTGAGGCGCGAAGTGAATCAATTCATGTTGCAATACGACCGAATCCTACCCGTCCCTCCTTGCACATAAAATGACAACTTTATGTTCCCCATGTAGCAATAAAACTGAAATCAGACAGTGTTTTTTAATCATATATATATGTATGTACATAATGATTTCCAAATTTAATGAGTCCAAACTTAATAATATTTATATGAAGGGCTTCTTCCTGGACCTCCTAATATGTAAATTTCAAGGCCAACCATCCTCTTAGGAGGTTCCTGATTTGAGCCTCTACCGGAGATCCTCAATTATCTAGTGCATCATCAATTTACAAGTTCACTCAGCAATTTTATTTGTAGGACCCCTAGTGTCTTTACCTTGAAATCATTCCACACATTCCATAGAGTCACATTGGATTGACAATTTGCGAAGGCCTTAATTTCACGCCCAAATGAGGCCTTTCAAACTGCCCGGCATTCAGTAATGGTAGGGTGAGTCGTGGTATGAGAGCACACGAAACCTCCTATCTAGTTCTCCTCATGCCCTCTTAATACTTCTCCACATCTTGTACCATTAGCACCTACACTCACATCCACATTTAAACATATCATGTCAACTTTCGGTTTAATAATCCATTTTACCTCAGCTGCCAACTCCTCGTCTAACGGCTTCTACCTCAATGACGTTTTGGATCTGGAATGCTCTCACCATCTCCATCTTTTGAGACAAAATCCAGTTGACTCTACTTTCATCATCATGTTCAACATTGCTGAATACATAATCGTTCCTCCATCACCAAGCGCACCATGATGTGATCGCAGAAATCATCAGCCACTCCAACCCATGTGACGTAAATTTCCCTGCAATTTGAACATCCATCCATTATGGAAGTCTAGCGTTTCCAAGCTCTTCATTGTCCTTCTTCCTGGCATCTTGCTCCATATTTGTGTGTTTTGGACATTCACAGAGGATGCGTGCCACAGTTTTGGTCGTATATGCAAAATGGACAACTATCCTCAACAGCAATATGCCTCCTACAGCGTTTTGCATTGCATGCTAGTATTTTGTGTCGCGGCAATCAAAGGAATGCCCTCACTCTATTTGGCACCTTAAGACTCCAAATTTTAGTCCTACCAATATCCTGCATAGCAAGGCCGTCTATATTAGTGAAAGCATAAGCTGAGGAAACAGAGAACTTACATGTCGCATTAGGTTGTCAACAAGTTTCGTCTTCATTATTTGAGCATGCACTTTGCTAGTTTTCTTCTTGCATCATCTGGTAAGATGTTATCAAGTAGGTCCCAATTCCAGCACTCTCCTAGTATCCATGGTGCCGCCAACAAGCTATTGCATATGCGTCGAAACAATATCCTTCAAAGGATTCTTATATATCAATCTACCTGTCAAGCCAAAACCTTGTATTTTATCCATTACCAACCCTCATGTTAACCCTTAACATATTTAGCCTTAACAATTCCCTTCCAGACGTTGGATGCCTAATCCTTCGGTTTAATGACATGTCTAGTTTGTCCTTCGTTTCACTTCTCCAACCCAACTTGGTAAGAAAGCTTAAGTTCATGTTCTTAGTACATCTAATTCCAACGCCACTACCTCTTCTCTTTGGTTGACCCCATTAGGGTAAAAGGTCAATTAAGAAGCATGGAGACTTCTTCTCCTTCTAGTTTCGGCCGGGGAAATAGCTGCCAGAGAGCACCATCATCATCGATTATTAAAGCTACGTTTACTTTTTCTGTTATTATACCAACATTTTAATACAAAAAAAAAAAAAGAATGAGCCCCCATCCCAAGGGCCTCCTCAGACCCGGCCAGATAGGAGATAAATTGGACTTTAATCGCAGATTGGTGGCAAAGAGTGGAGTCTGCCAGGAATCGAACTCGGATCTTACCCTCTTGGCACCCCTTTCCTTGCCAACTGTGCAACACCCACCGGCCCATTATTTTAATACAGAGTATATTAGTGAAGGATAAACTTAGTAATTTACACTTTGGCATGTATGATGCGACTATTTCTTAATCTCCATATTTGAGGAGTGTTTGTTTTTTACCTACTTTTTTTTAGTAATTTTATTTCTCCGTTATATTGTGTGCTAACTACTATCTACGTCTTAGTCTATTTATACAGTTTGACTATTTTGAGTCAAATCAAATAAAGTTTAAACTTCATAAGATCTAAATTTTAATTGCATATTAGTCTAATGAAATAAAATTTTGAAAGTTTCAATAAGATATATATCTAATAAAATCATTTTTACACTAATATATTACAACTTTTATTCAATTGGAACTCAAAGTTCATCCAATTTCGTTCGAAAAAGACATATAAGACAAATACCTAAGAGTATGAGACGGGAGGAGTACTCCCTATGGAGTATGAACCAAAGTAAAATTAAGAAAAATAGACTAACATATTAGGTATTTAGGTTTGCATTTATTGACTTCTAATTTTATTTTTTTTATTAAAAAAATCACTTATTGTTAGGATCCACCTTTCCCTATGCTATATAGACCTATAAAATCTTAGGAAGGATTAAGCTATTTGTACACCAAAGTTTGTACCCCATTTTGTACTCTAAAGGCTTGCAGCGATATTCTGTGCTAGTGTAATATATGTGTGATGATTTACATTGACAAAAAATGTTAGTGTAAATTTTTTGTAATTGAACTAACATTTTTTGTCCGTGTAAACAATTAAAATATCGGTGCATTTCTTTGGGGTACGCTTTTGGTGTACCACTAGCATGGTTGTCATAAGAAATGTAGAGTGTGGGTGGTCATCATTTGAGGGTGAATGTGGGATTGTCATTTGACGAAGGAGATTGGATTGAATAAACAAAGTGAAACGCCCACCCCGGGCGCCCACACACCCCGGTCCGACAGGATTGTGAAAAGAATAAATGATGATATAATCTTAATCTGGTCTTTAAAGAGATCGCATCGTGCTCGCGCACAAGGAGCTATTACAAATAATAGAATTCTCACACTGCTAGTGTTGAAATTTGACCCTAAGATCAACAGATTTGACATTCTCTCCTTTGATCAGTTGAGCTACCTATGGGGGCATTGGATTGAATAAACAAAACTAAATGGGATGATGATCAAACATGTGCATTATTGTAGTTTTCCCTTTACTACATGTGACTATAATTCCTTAGACCATTTTCTTGGGAAATAGTTATGCCGTCTATGTTCATGTATAGATTGTTATGCCGTCTATGTTCATGTATAGATTGTGTGTGACTATTTGTACAAATAAATTCATGTCACCGGTTATTTTAGGGGAGCACGAAAACTTCTTCCTTTGTTGACTTGTGGATTGTTTGGCTAGCTATTGTCATATATACCGATGTACGTTATTTTTTATACATTCGCATGTATACTAATTTTTAAATAATTAAATATTTATTTCCGAGTAATTGAATACTCATATTCATGCAAAACTAAGTTTTAGAAAATTGATTATTTGGTCACTCGATATTGAATATAATATTCAAATACTCGCAAGTAAATATATTCGCCGTTGATGTACGAAAAATATCATAGAATGTGGTGTAGAGTATATATTGTCATTCTGCACAGAGACCGAAAGATCATTCCTTTTTGAAAACATCAAGATGCATGTACCAAATTACCCCCGTTTTGACTTTCACCTATACAAAAAACATAAAGTTTTAAAAACACAAAACTAATCTACATAAGACTAAAAATTAATCTATTTCCCTCTCTAGAACTAAACTCTTTGAACCTCAAAGTATTCTTTCATTAAGTTATTAATCAGTAGTTAGGGTCGGTTACTGAATAAAAATGAGTTGGAAAAATTTGAAAAAAGTTATACTCCCTCCGTTCCTTTAAACCCTTCCACTTTTGACTTTTGGCAAAAATAAGGAAAGTGTAATTTTGGTTGACTTTCCAATTTTGCCCCTGATGTGATGGGTAAAAGTAAGATGTGATAGTTTGGTTATTAGAGAAAAAGTATGATGTGATAGGTAGGGTATTAAAAAGTAAGGGTAAAAGTGATTTTTTAATAGAAAGTGGAAGTGTTTTAGGAAATTCAAAAAAAACGAAAGGGAAATGATTTTGTGGAACGGAGGGAGTAGTTAACTAGAAGAAGTTAGAATAAAAGAAAAATCAACCAAAATAGAAGTAAAACATATTGCTCTTATCCCCAAAATATGGCTATTGCACTATAACAATGTGATACTGTACATTAACATTTCATATTAGTTTTTGGTATTTTTTTTTTGAAACAAAATGCACATCTTTTATTCATCACCAAATCAATACAAGAATACCTCACTTAAAACATAAACAACATACACTTAACAAAAATCAACGCCTAATTGCTTCTTGATTTCCTCTCCCAGTAGATGGTCAGGTGGTTTGTTATATGGTTAAAGCAAACCTCTACATCACGCTTCTCCTTCTTGTGGAATAGGCAGTTCCTTGCTTTCCATATATGGTAGCAAGTTGCTGCATAGGCACTTGTGCCCCTATCTCTTCTCCCTCTTCATCTTATTATTTTTTGGTATTATATGTTAATATTTTTTGCATTATAAGTCATATTATTGAGATAAAACGTTAACGTGAATATCATATTTTGATTTTTTTTCATTATGTTTCACTCATATTTTAGTCTTTTATCTTAAAAGAAAATGGAAAGAGTTGAAAAATACTAGAAATGAAAAAGGTTTAAATGTATATTACATTTTCAAAATTTTTTGTTTTTATTAAAATAATTTCTTAAAGTAGTCAGGATGACCAATTTTTTAGATTGGTTCTAGTCTTTGAATAAGTCTTCTACCAATCTTGGATCCATCCAATTCCTCTACAAGTCTTTCACTAGTCTTTAGTCGTAGTCCTCCTTACAAACTAAGGATCATTTAAAACTGCCGATTCTGGACTAGTCTAGTCTCAAAGACTAATTCACTCTTTTGTGGTCTCAATCCTTTTGCTCTTCTTTAGTTTTCGGTACTTTACGTACTCATCATGAAAAATGTTTCTAACATAAAGAATTAAACTATTTATACACCAAAAATTGTACTTCATTTTGTACTCCGAAGGCATACGCTAACATTTTATGTTAGTGTGATGCTAGTGTAATGATTTACAATGACACAAAATATCAGTACAATTTTTTTATTGAACTAACATTTTGTGTCAGTGTGAAGTGTTAAAATATTAGTGCATCCTTTTAGAGTACA